ATTTATGGTTCTAACATCCGTTGCTACAAATGATGTGACAGTTACAGGTCACAAAAGGTCAGTTCCAGACTCCACAATCAGTTGTAACCCCATGTATTATGACAACATCAGTGTAGTATACTGATGTGGTTGTTTTCTCTGTTTGTGAGAGTTGTAATCTAGTCATTAAAAAAGTTAAGACCAAAGCTTTATTATCGATAAGCTTAATCAGCAAAACATAACATTGCGTGCGTCAATTTACGTACCGGCTACGATTTTTCGACAAAACCTTTTTTTTTTTGTTAATCATCCAAACATAACTCGATTACACAAATGAATGAATGAAATTTCTTACATGGCTTAACTACGATATTTCTAGCAATACACACTCAGCATATATATGAAATCTCATTTCATGGTTAAACAACGTTAATTTCAGTCAATACACACTCAAGGCATTATCATATATGAAATCACCTAAGGTCGGAGAATTCACACGGTTTCACGTAACGCATATCAACTAAATTAAGGCATGAAATTCTAGATACGTTATTTCCTATAACAATTAAGACTACAAAATTCAAACGATTCTTCAATCTTATATAAAGAATATCATTGTATGGGTTCATATAGATGAACTCAACAGAAATATATTCATATCAAGAAAATTGTTCTACGAATCTAAACAAATAAAATTTTGGCAACTATAAGGAAATAAATTTAAACAAATTATTATATTGATATCAACGAATTATATGAGACTGGTACAAATACCTTGTGTTTTCAAGCTTTTACTCGCTTCTACCCCAGAATTGTGTCCGTCGATTTTCTAGACATTCGAATCCTTGGATAAATACTTACGAGTGAGTTTCTTCTAAATTCAACCCGTAGTCTTCTACATTTGTTTTTTGTGTGCAGAAAATGCGTCGACTGATTTTAAAGTTTGCGACGGGGCATAGCAAACCTAGGATTTAGTGCGGGAATCACACCCCCTTATCTAGCCTAACCAATCTGAATTAAATATCTCTGCCGGCTTAACCTATGCACCAAAACGTAATCTGCTTGATAAACTCGGATTACCAAATATTGTTTTCTGGAAAATTTCAATCTATCAACTCCAATACAAAATCCAAAAGTTAACCCTTATCCTTCAGTTTAAATAAACGTAGCTTAATTAATAATCACTAACAACTCTATCCATAATGGTGATTTAAAAAAGCGCCGGTCCCCATAAATCTAATTAATCGTTCACCTGCCCAAATTAATATTCTCTTCCTAGATCGACATAAATTTTACCCTTACAGTGTGTGTTTTTGTGAGTGTTTGTGTGTGCGTGTGTGTGTGTGTGCTGCCTTGTCCCAATTGCAATACTTTATTTTAGAGACAATAATATACATTTTGTTTTGTTGACACCAAACTGATATATTGCTGAGGTCGATTTGAAGTTTAGCGAAATGATATGTGTTAGAGTACACTGGATGTATGGCTAAGTCTTTGATAGACATTATTAAAAGATTGGGTCCTAACATAGGAGCACAACTTAAAACTGACTTGATTCGGAAGTATAATTACGTATAAACAACATGGAATCTGTTAGTGAGATAGGATGTGAACCAAGCAACCAAGTTTTTAGAAAACTTGTAGACTGAACGTTTTTTTTAATGAGCACCTAATGTTCAACCAAATCGAATGCTTTTTAAAAAATCAATGAAGATTTCGTCAGTAACTTCGCCTGATTTGATCGTTAGTAGCAACTGGTCTATATATTTTTTTTCATGCAGTTTGACATGAATGTTTCTGTTTTGTACTTGTTAAAATATCCAAAACTTTGCTTGCTGACATGTTTAATATTTTGTTTTAGAAATACAGATAGAACAGATATGGGTCGAAAATTATTAGATGGGCCATTCCTTTCATAATTATTATGAATTGTGAAAACATTCGCTTAGTTCAATGGCACAGGAAAGTTATAGGGAGTGGTACTTTTCTTTCATTCACTCAAAGTTTGATAAAGCCAACATTTTCGGAGTTTGGGGGTGAATTCCATTAGATCCGCTGATTTATTAGTGTCTATTTTATTGACACTATCAATTGTGTCAGTTATTGTTTACGGGAATATTGAAAGCATGATCGGGTACCCTTTCATTTACGAGGTAGTAAGTTTGTCTATGTGATGCCATGTAAATTTAGACTTGTCAAGTGTTTGGAATATATTAGTGAAAAAAGTTCGCCTGGATTGCAATATCGTGCTCCTCAGTATAATTAGTGGCATTAACTTATATTTCACATGAAATTAGACGTGCAAGTTCATTGTAGTTCTCGCAAACGATTCCAGATGGATCTGTTATTAACTTCTGAGGCGATAGCTTCTTTGCAAAAAACCATTGCGTTTTACAAAGAGTGATTTGACTGAGGCTATGGCTTTTTTGAAAAAAGCAATTGCGTTTTACAATGAGTGATTTGACTGTTCCACCATTAATGATAATTTGTAAAATATTTATGTTGATGATAATTTCGTGTAAGTTGTGCCTTAACGATTTCATTTGTGTACAGTAATGGTTGTTTTTGATTGCTTGATTCTTTTGATTAGCACGAGAGAGTTTTTTTTGGATAGTAAGAACACAGTAGTTCAAGATAAACAAGTCATAATATGGTTTAAAGTAGATACAGTTAAGGAGTTTTATTTTGCAATAGTTCAAAGAGCAAATCATTTTCTGCATTTTTAAAGCATATGTATTGTATATAGAGGTTTAAACTGATTTTCGTTGCGCTCGTTTGCCTACGAGTTGCACACAAGGGATAGTGATGGCTATTAGGGAAACAGTGTACGTGTATCTCGTGGAGATTGTCAGGGTGGGTAGTGTAGATGTGGTCGATCAAGTTCGAAGTACAGGCAGTTACTCTTGCTACTCTTTGTAAAGGATTGTTACCTTTTGAATGGTGTTTATCTCTGTCTAGCTAATACTAAAATATGAAATTAATAGATGGAATAATGGAGATGTGAGCAGAGATATATAATAGAACAACACTAGCCCACTTATACAGAATATAGCAATTTAATTAAATTAGAGAAACAAACTAAAATTGAACAATATCAATTATAGGATTCATTTATGCTTTAACAATAAATTAACACGAGTTCTAAAAATGCACTTAGCTGTTCCGTTTACATAGATACATGGAATTTCTTCATGAAATCAAGTGCGCATTTAATTTAATTTTCCTGCATGTCTACACAACCTGATTGGTTGCGAGTCACTCTCAAAATTCATCTCAACCACTAGGTCGGGATTGATTTTAACCCTTTTCTGCAACGAACTAACCTTCTGTCTTTCGTTATACTTTAGAGTTAGCCATATGATATTTCAAAACAGACACTAACTGCTACTACAAAAATGTAGTATTTCCCTAATACACAATATATCTCTTTTTAATAACAATTAACATAGTACAGAAAAAATAACGTATTCTTCTAATAGATCTTGTTATCATTACTGATTGATCGAGAGTATAAATTGCTCTCGATTAATTACAATTAAGCAAACACACGGCCGACAATAAATAGCCGTATATCACGCCATATTGTTCAAACGTTACTGATTCATAGGTACAAATAATTCACATTTTAGTTATACAAATGAATTAAATCAAAGTTCACTTCTCGTCTTAACTACATTATTTTTTAACTAGCATGTCATTGGCAAACACAGCCTGAAAACCTGACAAAAATACTGGACATAAAGGATTCGTATGTCACTTAAGTAAATAAATTCAAGCAAGTATTATAAGACTCATATCAAAGAAAATAAAGCATGAAATTTAAGCACTGTTTCTTTTTCATTTTAGCAGAGTCAAGTTCCGCAATATAAATACCTTATATTTCGTTGTATTTATGTGCTAATTTAATGCTTGGATTGTGCTATCTTTATAATCCGAACTCTTTGCTTCTTGTCCCCGAATCTCTTTGTTCTTATTCAAGTTTTCTATTAGTATAGCATTTAGAAAAATAAAAATTTTGGTTACACTTTTTCTAGTTCGTATATTTGCATGCTTTTATGTAGTTTTGTAGTATATACTACCAACTGTAATGGGGCAAATTTTTCTGTCCATCTCTGTATAGCGCATTTAGTTGGACACATGTACGATTAATTATATTTATGGGAGACCTACACGTGTTTAAATTGCCTTAATGCACTGATTGGATCCGTCTGTCATGAATTTAGCGATTGTTAATTACGGCTACTTTTGTTTAAACTGAACAGTCGGGTGCTAATTTTGGTTCTGTAGCGGAGTTGTCATATTTGAAATATAGCGGAAACAGTATTTGGTAATCTATGTAGTTAGATAACTGAATTATTAAAGCCTAGCTCAGGCTGGAAAAATATTTCATATAGATTGGTTACACTGTAAAAGGGGGAGGTTTTTTTTGCGTGGTTCCACGTGAAAACTCTCGGTTTAAATGTGCTAATCGCAATATTCTAAATCAGTCTACGCTTTTCTGCAAGAGAAAACAAAGGTAAGGGGACTCCGAGTGAATTCAAGAAGTAAATTCACTCGTAATATTATCCAGGGGAATCGATTGTCTGGAGAATCGGCAGAAACAATTCTGGAAGTTAGAGCTTGGAAGCACATGGTGAGGTAGCTCCACATGGCGTCTCACGTATTTACAAACCCAAAGTTACCACACAAAGTTGGAAGGGCCGAAAGAGGCGAGATACCTGAGAATTTGGAAAAGTAAGGGAAGAAGGTGGAGAGGACCCAGACTTACAGGCACAAGGAAGCCAAAAAGGACAGCCACTGTGAATTTGGACTGAATCAAGACCTCCAGGTTATGAATCTGTACAAGGCAATGTTTTCGATCTTTCACTCGATTAGATGATGAATTAATTATATCGTTTAACAGATCGACTATTAGTATAATCATATTTGTATTTGAAATTCTTTGAATAATTTACTTCAAAAAACAAAAAAGCCTATTTTTCAAATGTAATGCAGTATCAAAATTTTTTTAGTCTTTGGTATGACTCGGCCGGGGTTAGAACCCGCGACCTCTCGCATCTTAGGCGGACGCTTTTGATCACTAGGCCACCGAGCGGTCCGAAAAGTAGAGAAGAAATGAATAATTATGTATGCTCATAAAGACTTTGTTTTTTACTTCAGAATGCTAAACATAGCATGGATAAACACATTCCGGTATTGGGGACAATGCTTTTGCTGTTAATAACAATTTATTGGATAAAACGGATTATTAGACTGCACACAATAATACACAATGACTCACTGTAATCACTCTCATCATAAATTTGGAACTTCCTAAGTCTTCGGCTACCTATGAGGCACTGTTGCGGAAAAAAACTGGTCCAATCAGAACGTTGCCGTTGAAATTTTAATGTCGTATGTCCAGAATTTTAATGTCACATGTTGCATAAAAAATCTTTTCCTTAAAAGTTCAATTTTCTAGGTCGAGAATTTAGATTGTATCTGTTTAATTAAACTGTATTGGTTGAAAGTTGCATTTTCTGTGTCAAGGTTTTAGATTGTGTCGTTTGAATTACACGTCGGTGGTTGAAATTTCAACGTCATACGTCGAATATTCCTAATTTACGTGTTTGTTCAAAGAGTTTATGTTGAAAGTTCCATTTCATATGTTATGCATTTAGATTTCATCTGTTGAATTACACTGCGCTGGTTGAAAATGTATTCGCAATGTCGAGTATTTAGATTGTATCTTCTGAATTACAGGCGGCTGTTGAAATTATGTCATATGTCTGGAGTTTCAATTTAGCATGCTGAATCACATTGATTGTGCTGAAAGTTCCATTTTGCATGGTGAGATATAGCTGTTGTATATATTGAACTACACAGCGGTGATTGGACATTTTATTCTGCTTGTCAGAAATGTTATTTTTATATGGTGAAATGATGTGTTGGTGTTAAAAGTAACATGACACAATGTCCATTTTAACAATTCAAAATAATATCGAGTATTAGGATAGATTCATTTGTGTATTCAGTTATGAAGAGCTATTGCGTTTTATGCATTTATAGTTTGAAAGTTATCATTCACAGGTCGATAGTTACTTTGAATTTCTTCACTAGAGGTCGATTTCGTGAATGGACCTCGTTATTTTTAAACAAGGAGGCTGCTTCTCGTTGCTATGAAATTCAACAGATAAACACTCGCCATATGAAACGGAACTTTCATTGCAAACAGTTGTATACAACGTGTGAATTAGGGATTCTCGACATATGATAATGAAATTTTAACCACTGCTGTGTAATTCAAAATATACACTGTAAAACGTCGACATAGGAACTAGAAGTTGAAATCACTACTTTAGAAATCAACATATAAAATCTATAATCTCGATCTAGAAAATGGAACATTAAGGACATGCTTTTTAATCCAACGTGTGATATTTGATTTTTCGACATGCGATATCTATATTTCAACTGTAACTTTCTCCTTGGATCAGTTGTTGTCCTCTGCTGCGTCTTATACGGTTATTTTAAACAATTAATGACATTTATTTGCATTGACAGAAATTTGCAGGCATCAGTTTTGTTAAACATTTGGAACCTGACTGTTCAATTTGTTTCAAATTTACTAGGACTTCCAATATCTGACTTCGATACATATTCCGTCAACAACATCTTTAAGTACAGAGATATACGAAATAAATTTTAAAACCTCAGAATTTAACTGTGGGATTTTATTAATGAAGCCTATCGTCTCTTTTAAATATTTTTAAGCAGCCCAAGTTGCCAATTTCTGTTTAAAGAAACATTCCATATGTGTCAATATAAAAAACGAAAGCGAGGTCCAGATCAGTAAACATATGGACAAATACGGCAGGGCCACCTATGAACCAGTTTGACAGCTTATACTGTACTGTGGTTTTTATGTGCGAAAGATTGATTGAATGTTGACTCGTTACCAGTGTTCAGCGCTTTTCATTGTATAGCTCGAACCAACATAGATATATACGTTTCACAATATCTTTTGTATTAGAATTTGTAAAGTGAAATCGAGGTATACATTCTAACCACTGCTTGGAGTTATTTTACTTGATAGAGCTTAAATTGGACATGAACTAAAATGACTTTTTGCTGTTTATATAGAATGATGTATCATTGGGCAGCATATAGTAAGTTGCGTCTGTAAACTAGCACAAAAAAGTCTTGTCTTTGTTCATAAACATGTCTATTCCTCAAAATGGATACGAAGTGACAAGGTTTAGGCTACCAACCTCATTGAAGTGTTCAAATATTCGACAAAAGGTGTACAGTTGATGGGGTTGTATTTCATATAGATTTTATTTTCCCATATTAAATGTATGTGTACATTATCAACTTTGTAATGAAATTACAAATGTTCCCTGATCACTGGCGTAGAAGATTTTTCTCTTTATGATATTGTTCTTCCATAACGTTTATCGAGCGCCGTTAGAACAGGATGCATTATTCATTAATACCAGCGTTGTTGACATCGGCATCGTATACGATGATCAATCAATTACATCCAATGACGACATATGAGAGCATAAGTGCAAACCAGTATTGAAATCCGTCGGGGCTGAGACACACCTAGAAACGTAAGTATATATTTACCTTACAATGCTTCAAAGGTAAAACATTATACACATGGGCGCCAGCATGATTTTTTGCGGGAGTGTGGGTGGTGTGGGTGTATTCAGGATTTTTTGCGGGTACGGGGAGTCCGTCACGGCCGGGAGAATTAGTATAGTAAGTAGTCTGAAACTAAAGTTAATATTTACTCAACGTTTTGAACATAAATTTTGTGATATATTTTCAGCTTCATTTGCATGATCAAACTTGTCGGAATTTATATATTTTCATGGCAAGTTAAATGGACAAGTCTTTAATATTATTTCCATGGTGAGTTTAACGGACAGTTTAACGGTCGAGTCTGTAATATTAATTGTTTCCATGGTGAGTCTAACGGATAAATGATATTATTTTCTTTTAGAGCGTATTCCTTTTTCAACATAAGTAATATCGGACAAACATAATTGCATTTTCTACTAGTCGGCAACTCTACTAAAATCGTTCATTTATGTATGTGTATTGTAATCAACGGGTACGGTATATCGAATGTAACTGGAATAGTCTTCATTGATCTACTCATTTAGAAACATAAAGACAAGCTGAACAATCGATAGTACAGTCATATTCCATAACAGGTGTTATTTTACAATATCTCGCGGTTTTGAGGAAGCTTTTAGATTTCCATCATAAAAAACAGTTTATTAAGTTTTTTCCCTACTACTCAAAAAAATCTTTTTAATACGAAGGTGCACACGTTTGTAAATTTTCAAATATTCTAAAGTTAATTTAAAAGATGCTAAAGCTGCATTACTAGATTCTTCGGTATTAAAGGATCTTTTTGAGGCTTTTTTCTCTCAAGAATTCGTCCCCCCACCGAAAAACTAAAACAGACCAACTCCTTTATTCTTTTGGGATTATTCGTTTTATACCACCTGTTAAATTCTCAATTATAAATTGCACACAGACTTTACTATTAAACACCAGTATAATTTTTCTATTGAAAAAGACAAGGGCTACTTACGTCGAAAATCTGAGAGTGGAACTTTTAGAGAATATTTTCTTTCTTATCAACATATAAAAATTATTATTGTATTGAACAAGATACTGTTTAAATGTTTTTATTTGAAAATTCATACTGTATGTATTCGCGTATATATCAAGTACAATTGCAAACAAAATCGACCCAAATGTGCCAGCAAATCAGGGTCTATGTTCCTGTTTTACTGATTGCTTCAAACAAACTATGTATCCAGATGAGTCGGCTAATCTGATTCTGTGCAGTTTCTAGTTCAACTTTCCTTATAAGCGAAACAAACCGTATATATTCTAGTGATACCTTAGCTGTCATAGTACCTATATGCAGTTGAAAGATTAACGAAGTTTATTTCACCCCAACTACGTATACGTATAATTCTGCTTTTAAAGAAACGTAAATAGAATAATCATTCGTAAAAAGGTGAATCAAGACCTGATAAAATAGAACCAAAGTTTACCAACATATGGGCCGCAGGCTACCCCCCTCCCCATCCTGTGTGTGTGGGGGGAGGAGGAAGCGTGGATTTCTTCCAAGGGGTATCAATTTTCTCAATTATTAGCAGATCAGGGACGGATGGTCCACGAAAGCTTTTGGACTTAATAAAGGGGTCCCGGTTTACGAAAGCTTTTGGACTTAATAAAGGGGTCCCCATACACGATAAGTTTAGGAACTAAATTCACTAATCAAATACAAAAATGAATAAAGAACGTGGTTTCAGAATGAACCTAGACAAAATAAATACATTTACAAGATATTTGCTTGTATTCAATGGATATATTTCGTCAAGTGTGAAAGTATTTTAATTTCCATTGATGTTATTAAATATATCCGTTATAAAGATACAAGTGGATATCAATATCTTCTATTTATGTTATACTAGCCTTTGAATTCGTGGATTTTCCAAGGTAAATCAATTTGATAATTCCCTGGAGTGAAATATGAAAAAATATTATTTTTTTGCGGTCAATGGACGTCGATAATAATTTGACCCGAAAAATTAAGATGCTGTTTTATCACTTGCTTGGTCGAATAATATTACCACCTGTCACGCAAATAGTACTAGTTTCAAGTCCCCCAACAGGCTTACATTTACTTCAGCATTTTGTTTTATGTGCTTTTTGCCTTTTAGTGGGAAAGAGAATTGTGTTGCTAATTATATTTCCCGTAAGAATATATGCAAAACAGTAGGACATAAACAGCAAACAGCTGACGTCACATCCTTTACTTAAATATGTTATACTTTTTGCCAGCGAATACGTTGGAGCAAAAATTTAAAAATAATTTACTTATTTCAAGCGATCAAAGGATAAATTTCGTCTTGTGTGTGAAAAACTCCAGTATTTCTACTCACATTTAAGAAATTAATTTATGCAGAACTCTGTAAAGATTGCGTAAGATTTGCACAGATCGTTGTCATAATTATGCAAGATTTGCACGGATCGTTGTCATAATTATGTAAGATTTGCACAGATCCTTGTCATAATTATGTAAGA